AGCAAAAATCAAATGAGTTTTTAACTAATATCATTAACAAATACACTAAACTAAATTAAACCAGAAAATGAATTTTAAAAAATCGTAAAAATTTGCAGAGAAATAGAAGAAATTACGAAAATTGAATTTTGGGCATTTAGAATTCATTCAAACACAACAACCCTCTGCTTCCAAATCTTCCTACCACTCACCTTAAATTGCTTTTGTAATTATGAATTAATCCCCAAGTGTTGGGAGAAATCGTGGACCCCAAATTGTTGGGTGGTCTAGTTGATAAATCCCTTCGTCTTCGTCGGTCCACAGGCACCGAAAAAGCTTGTGGAATTCGTCGGGTGGGACGCGTTTCTTGGCGACGATGGGTTTATGTTGATCATTTTCTTATTGTTGTAGTCTGTTGTGGGGATCGGAGAAGACGGTGGTGACTTGGGCGGCAGAGACAACGGTGACAGCGGCGAGGCTGAATCGTCTTCGGTTAGAACATTCTTCATCATCTCCATCGACGAGGTCTTCATTATTGAAGATGCCATACATTTAAGTATTTCCTGATTTGACACCGAGTTGGGCTAATTGGTCGGATTCGAGTGAAGCTCTTCAAAGGGGTGGAAATAGAGAGAGAGAGAGAGAGAGAGAAGGGGGCACCGCCGGCAAAAAATGAAGAAAAAAGAATAAAAGTGTGAAAGTGAAGAGAGGGGGCGGGCATCACCTGCAAATGAAAAAGAAAGAATAGGAGAGAGAGAGAAGAAAGAGAAAGAATAGGAGAGAGAAAAATAGAGAGAGGAGAGAGAGAAGTGGTTGTTGACTTGGTCCAATTTAGCAAGCAAATTTTGAGGGCAATTAAGTAAATGTACAATAAAACTAACGGTGTTAATTTTGTTAACGTTGACCGTAAATGACAGGGGTCGTTTTGGTACGTTTCGTAGTTCAGGGGGGTGTTTGCGACAAGCCCTATAGTTCAGGGGTGCAAACTGTACTTTCCCCTTATTCTTTTGTAGCTGTATTTGAAATAAAATCTTAATTTGAAAAAAAAAAGAGTAAAAATCGCAATTGAAATCTACTCGCGATATTTTATTTAATAATTTGGGTAAATTACACTTACACCCCTGAGGTATAATTTTATTCCCTATAATATCAGTAATTACAATCGCTCTCTGAAACATTGTTAGAAACCCTAACGAAATATTGCATTTGATATGTTATTCCGTTAGGGTTCTAAAGGACAATTAATTTCAGGCAGTGATGGATATGACATAGAGGCAGGGGGTGATATAACTCTCCCAACATTTCTCGAATCGTTATTATTTTATATAAAATTTATTAATTTTTATCTATGGTTGCATTAAAGGTCCCGCTGAAAACAAATACAGTACATGGAATCTTGGCTCCGGTAATTGTTTTAGGGGTGTGACTGTAATTACTTATACCACATGAACCTCATACCTCAGGGGTGCAGGTATAATTTACCCTAATAAATTAAACCATGACCAATCCTATCTTTTTCTTTCAAACCTTTATTTTGTTAGAATATCGCAATATAATCATCAAAACACGAGTTTATCAAATTTTGAGCATAACTTGGACTAGTGTATGTCGGAGATGCTCGTTTTTTCTGAATATGTAAAGCTTTCTTATTTCGAATTGTTCCATCATTTTTTTTAAACACAAAAACCACCCAAAAACTATTCTCTAAGTAGAAATCTCTATTTTTTTTTTATTTCAACCCAAATCTATGAACAAATTTTGAGTTTATATGATTTTTCCCAATTTAATTCTATAAGTTAAAAAATCTAATTTAAATTTAGAAATTCAACAACACTAAATAATTTAAATATAAGAAATCTAGAAATGAGATTAAAAATCAAAATTACATAATGACACACGTTTACTAAAAGCCGTTATATATTTATTGGTTCAAATTTTTTAAATATCCCTAAAAGAATTTAGAGTCCTCCTTTAAAATTATTTCTATTAATATTCTTAAATTTGTAATTCATCCTATGGAACTTTTGACCTCTTCAACCATACATTATAAATGCAATTACCTACCAATGAAAGGAAAAGAAAATTCGAAATATGTGAATGTAATTAATTTACATTACTATTTTCCCTTTTTTCTTTGTTTTCTCTTAGGAATTTAGTATTAATTGTGGTAGTTGTCCTTCCAAAAACTAAATGCAATGTGCATTAATTGTTTAGGTTCTTAAGAGACTTCTTATTGAAAGTATTGAACTATTTACGTTAAATTTTCAAGATAAAAAAAATGGTTCTGGGATATTGTGAAGTTAGATATTACACCTAATTATTTAAATCGGATGAATTTCAACAATTATCTGATTAAATAACCACCACTAAACACACATACACTGATACACATGCATGTGTTTGTATGATTATGTATAGTGTCTGTATGATTATGTGTAGAACTACGGTTGAAATGTATATAATATAATTAACCAAATGTAAAATATCCCATGGGACATCCTCTCACGACAAAACAAAGAATACGTGCCTAATTTTTAACTAATTAATCAATTCCCGAGTCGAGCTCAAGCTCATTACATTTTACTCAAGCAAATTCTAAAAACTAAGCTTCTTGAGCTTGAATATCAAAAAAGTATACTCAAACTTGAATTCGTTGCAATAAATTCCAACTCCGTTCATTTACACTTCTAATAAGGTCGTACATTGCAATTAATCATGTGATAGGGGCAAGCGACTTCAAATTCTCATGTGATATATCACCGATCGGCGATCACAACTAAAAATATAGCAACTATAATTAATAAATATGACCACCAAATTGAAATATAGATTGCTAAAAATATTGAATTACCTTCATTTGCTTTAAAAATTCATTCGGGTGCATTATGCATGATTTATTGTGTTTTCAGAGTGCAAAGTGCCATTAATATTTTTTTTTAGGGTGCAAAATGTCAGACCCCTATATTTCAGGGGTGAAAGGTGAAATTAAGCCCAAATTAGTTCCGGAAGAAAAAAATTCAGAAATTTCGAGAAGGTGTAAAACATCGGATAAACAAACAAAATAAAAACACCTAATTACAGTAATTTGTGATGACAAACGTACACTCTTTCCTATGCCTTGTCTTATTATTACCTAAAACAAAATATATTTTTTTTCAGACAAATTAAATTGATTTAACTAAATTGGTCGGTTTGGATTGTGTCAGATTTATCTGTGCAGTACTTTCAATACCTGGTTGATTCACTCCTATTATCAATATATATATTCTCTTATTTTGTTTAATAAATAATTAAAAGGATTCATATATCTAAAATTTATAATGATATCTATATAAAAAGACAATTATTTGAATCTTAAGAAATATATATGCACGTGATCATTTTTTATAATAGGGGAGATGTTTCTGCAAGAGAACCACGTGTTGTAACCATGCAAATACTAGTGAAGTATTATAGTTAAGCTAATAGTTATTTCTTATAAAAAAAAAAAAAGCTATATAGATATTACTCTATCCCTTATAACATGACATAAAAGAGCATCGTCGATCAAGTTCGAATTTCTTTGTTAACAGTGGTTAGATCGACCATAATACACATAATTAGTCTAGTGTAGATTTACCCAGTGCACATATATATAGTTGATTGCGGATTCCTTTATTACCAAAAAAAAAGGAAAAAAATCTAGCATAGCATTACAAATATTAAATTATCTCAAAATTAATTGTAGAATATATAAAAGAATATATTTCGGAAAAGAGTAATCTTTCTCGATAATTAGGGTAAATTGTGTCGCGTAAAAACCGCAAACGTACATTTGTAGTTTTCGTAAAGAGAAAAAGAGGCAAAAAACAAAAAAATCTATAACTGCACGATCGATTTACCGTGTTTTGACTAATTCTCTAGATCCAAATAGTAGGAAGAACAAATTGAATGGATCTTGGTTAAGCTTATAGTAAAGTATGTCATACTAATTTAATGAAGGCTGACCTGGATTAAATAATCAAGAATCATGTGATAAAAGTGTCACCAATTTTTGTGGACCAATGCACCTAAGAATCATGTGATGCACAAAGCAAGCAAACCGACCAACACGGGCAAGGTTAAAAAGATTAATAAACAACTTACATTTCCATTCTCTAGGGTTTATGGATTTTGTAGTTGCTACACTAACTGATTTATACTCGGTGATTCTACATCAGCGATCTATCGTGTCTCTATTAACAAGTTTTCCATGGCCGAGCTTGCCTATTCTTGAAGGGATAAATAGCACTATATATATATAGAACATATAATTTATTTAAATGAAATCATAATGTATTTTGTAGATTTTTTGGGCGCAAAGGGATTAGTAAAATTCAGTCCATTGAACTCTTTCTTCTCTGAGGCGATCCAACACTTCAAGCCCAGCAGCACGAAAAGGCCAAATGATCGATCAAACCAATAAGAATCCTCTAGATGCTAAATCGTGACTGTTGGTTATGTCTGCTTTGATCATCACACTTATTTGAAAATTGCGATGATAATTCATGTCTTAAATTCTCGATATTTCACTTGGTCCCATATGGAGTTTTGTTGGATCTTTTTAGCCCAAATGGATTAGTGAAATCCAGCTTATATTAAACCATTTCTCCTCTGAGGCGGCCCAACACTCAAAGTCCAGTGATATAAAAAATTCCAAGTGATCGGTCAAATCATGAGAACTCTACATCCTGAATTTTGATCGTTGGTTCTCTTTACTTTGATCCTCCCCACCCAGTTAAGGTATTTAGACTCCGCCTCTTTCCGAAACTCTACTTTGTGATCTATTCTCATCTTTCACTCTTCTGGTCGTACCTCCAAATTGAATGCTTCTTGGCATTTCCCAACGACATGCCCGTTTGACTGTGACGATTGTTGTACTATTTATGTTCTATACTTTTGAGACAATCCTTCTTTCCCATTTATATATCATACCATTTTGTGAAAAGAGAGGGTGGAACAAACTTATTTTAAATCTCTTCTAAGTTTCTTCAGATCTCTGTTTGTTTGGTGAGCGAGTGAGATCCACTTCTGAGTGAGAGAAACACAAGAGAGTTTAGATTGGAGTTTTGAGTGAGAGAGTTGACAATAAACCGAGTGATTTTGGTTAATCAAACTTAGAGTTTTGGTGATTGAAAATCGTAATTTTGAAAAATGGAATGAATAAACTTGTTTCAAAATTGAAAATTTTCACTATCGAAATCGGTGGAATTCAGAATTTTCAATTTTTTAGTCACATAGTATTACATAAAATATATAATATTATTTACATTATAAGTGCAATTTTCGATTCATAAAAAAGTCGGAAATTTCAAAAATAATTTTGGAAATTAAATTGATTCGAAGTCAGAATCAAATGTATTCGAGTGAAAATTGATTCGAAGTCAGAATGTATTCGAGTGAAAATTGGAACAAAATTTTGTATCCTGCCGATTCCGATCTGAATATTTTATGGAACTATATTTCTCATCCGAATTCCGAAATTTCGATTTCCAATTTTTCCGAATTATGTAGGCACGATTGTTAGTAATATTAATTGTGGCCCAAAGAAAATCTGAGAAATGATTTATAAGAACAGTAAGCCCATTGGGCCTAAGGCTTACTATTTCTCTCGGGTCAAAATTGAAACCCGACCCGTTTATATTGGGCCTGCTCCAGACAATCAGGATTTCTTTTCTGCAACAAAATAGCTGCTTCAATGGCGGTCTTTCTGTCTGGTATGAAAAGCAGCAGCTTCAGACTTGCGCTGAAAATTTAAATTAGTTCGTACGCGCACCGACTTTTGGGCGAATTTGACAATTTTGGGGTGAAATAACAAATTAGTTGTTGGTTGTGTACGGACCTCGGGAGCTGCAGCAATGGCGGCGGAGAGAGAAAATATCGGCGTGACGGCATTCGCAATCGCCGCCACCTTTTTATTCGCAGTCGTAATCTCCATTCGCTTCCTCAAGGAATACTTCACGAATTCAAAGCGGAGTAACTCGTGCTATTTGAATGCAGAGCTCAAACCCCAGCACGCATTCAAGCGAGTTTTGGCAGACAACTCATATTCGCCATTCAAGCACCTCAAACTTCACTCAGCAGACTCGCTCACCGATGGTACATTGAAACTTTCTCTCTCTAATTCTAATTACTGAATTTAATTGTTTTTTTTTTTTGTTATTTATGTCCGAGTTAATTCGATTTTTTTTTTTTTTTTGGTTAGAGGAATACTCGAATTTGCATCCGTACAAGGGAGAAATTTCCAAGTTGATGAAGAATCCAAATGTAGGGTTTTTGGAGTGTCTTGATGGGTGTGAAAAGGGGAGTTTGGAAATGGGGAGTTCTTACATGTGGGTCGAGACGGAAGCACAGTTGAGAGAGCTCGTGGGGGTGTTGAGTAACGAGAAAGTGTTTGCGGTCGATACCGAGCAGCACAGCTACAGATCCTTCTTAGGGTTTACAGCTCTTGTTCAGGTTCACATTAGCATTTCTGCAAACACCTTGTGTGCTGTTTATGTTAATGTTTATGTTCGTTTGTCTTGCGTAGTTTTCCTTTATGTATGTGCTTCGCGGACTGAATTACTTGCACGACTGATTGTTCAAGAACATGTATTTAGAAAATGTTCCTGTTTTGCAGTTACCTTTTTTTTCTTCGTTTTCTACTAGTACTTATACATGCACAAAATGCAAGCATTTATAAGAAACTGTTCTAGATTAGTATATTTTGTGTGTGTGGTTAACTGAATGTACTCATTCTATCTTGTATACTGTAAACAGATATCCACTTTAACCGCAGATTATTTGGTCGACACAATTATCCTGCATGATGCGATGGGACTTCTTAGGCCAGTATTTGCTAATCCAGGGATATGCAAGGTGATCATACTATTATTCTTGTTCCGACTGTACAGTTAATTTGCTTGGTTTATTAATCTTGGTTAATATTTAAGCAATACTCTGTGCATCCAGAATGGTGTTCGGCTAGTAGATGAAGTATTGTTCATATACTTTTGACATAAACTGAAATGTCGTTTGTTTTATATTCGACCTTACAAAAAGCGTTCTGGGAATGATAAGTTTCCCTTTTTCCGTTGAATGGATTTTTTTCCTTATTTGATAGCATGATAATGTTATATCGTATGTGCGTGTTCATGGTGTCCTTAGAATCTAATAACATCTAAATAATTGACTGTATTAGAACTGAACCTTGTTATGTTTTTCATATATTATTTATTTTGATTAAAAAAAAACTTTTATTATGTGACAGGTGTTTCATGGTGCTGACAATGATGTTCTTTGGCTACAAAGGGACTTCCACATCTATGTTGTCAACTTATTTGACACAGGGAAGGTGAACTATAAGATATATTTTTTTAGATATCATTTTATATTTACGGGTTTAGGAGGTATTTTACGTAGTTCAGGATTTCTATTCATTTGAGAAGTTGGAGGATTAGGGAGGTAAAAAGATAGCAGAAAGTTTTTCCTTTTTAGATATTTGTCTCGCTGGTCATAGTCGTTCAGTTGTCGAGCAGAGTTTCGACCTATACCAATCATGACTGGTATTTGCTATGTTGCAGGTGTGTGATATTTTATCAAAACCACAGAGATCCTTGGCATATTTGCTTGAAACTTACTGCAGTGTTTCCGCAAATAAACTGTTACAGGTCTGAGTTTAAGTTCAATCTGATGTATCTTCAACTCGCATGTACAGTTTATTAGAAACAAGTAATGAAGCAATTCTTGAAGAATATTAACTGAAGTCCTCTGTTCTCTGTATCCTTATTCACTTCTTGGTCAATGTGCCTTGTCTTCATAGATGCTTTGTGCACTGTGTTTATCAGATATTTCGTAAAAAAAAAGGAAGGCATAAAGTTTCTGTGAAGAAAAGGACACATTAATCAAGAAGTGAATACAGATACAGAGCACAAAGGACTTCAGTTGACAAACCTGACTCTAACCATTCTTAATTGTAGAGAGAAGACTGGAGACAACGTCCCTTGTCAGAGGAAATGATTCAATATGCTCAAGCGGATGCACACTATTTGTTGTATATTGCATACTGTCTCTCTTTGGAGCTCAAGCAGCAGAAAGATGGTATGTCGTGTAATGTTATGAGTATTTAAAATAGTTCACGCCAAATACTCTCCTTTCTATCACTCAATTGTTTATGTTTCTGCATTATCATATAGATACCCTGTTTCTTGTCTTGATAATATTTGAACTGTTGTCCCTACTGAGAATCGGTTACACAATGGAGCAGTTGTTGCAAGTTATTTTTTGACATGATCGTATTGTTAACCAGAATATACCTTTCTCTTCTTCTTCATCTCATTACCACATACTTAACATATCAGTTTTTTCAATTCTTCATACTGTCAACATTCTAAATAAAATAAATGCATCAGAAAATTCGTCTTCTGGTGACAAATTCAATGTTCTTCTCGAGGCTTGTCGACGTTCAAATGCAACTTGTTTGCAGCTTTTTGGAAAAGAAGTTGAAGCTTTTCCAGGAGAATTAGCTGCATTGTCAGTGATTTCTCGATGCTTGAATGATCAGGAAAATATCTCATCGGGTCTTTGTGATGCAAAGGTATCATGTGACTGCAAGTTTTTTTAATCGTCACTTGTTGGCATAGAAAGGGCAATAATAATGATGAATTTTCCCTTGCAGTTTCAGGAACTTGTGAGACGTCTGTGCTTATGGAGGGATGTAATGGTTAGTATAACCATGTTTTCCGTCTGCTTTCATGTTTTATGTCATTTATAATTTAACTGCTGTCTTAATCAATCGGGTTTTACAAATATCATTCACGTAAAGTTGTTCTGTTCTCATAATCTTTCTGTACTTCGAAAAGGAAAAAATCTAACTTGATGGATGTCAAATTCTTCCAGGCTCGTCTTCATGATGAAAGTTTGAGGTTTGTTTTATCAGAGAGTGCGATCATTGCTTTAGCAGCTAAAGTTCCGATAACCGAAACAGATATCTGTAGTATTATATCTGAAGCTGATCTAAATGCTGAATCTACATCTCGTGTTCCCATACAATCTCCATCCCCTGTTGTTTCTAGTCATTTGGAAGACCTTCTTTGTTTGCTCAAAGCGAACACCACTAATCTCGACAGTTTCTTCCAACTATTCATCCAGCAACACTTAGGTCCAGCTGGCAGTTGTCCTCTTTCTGCACATAATTATACTTTGTTGTCCAAAACTAACCTTGGAGTATCCAATAAATCCACCTCCAATCGCAATGGCTTTAGAGCTTCAAAACAAGTTGCAAAGAAGTTTTCTCGAGACCTGTTTGTTCAAAAGTTTTCATGCAAATCTCCAGTTTATCACAACTGCAAGATCTACGCAAATGATGGGCGATTATTATGTTACTGTGATCGAAGAAAGCTTGAATGGTTAGACGACCCTCTCTTAATTAAATGCCCAATTATTTATTAATTTTGTAATCTTTTTACAAACATTTTGTTCAGGTATGTCAATCGGAATCTTGCAAAACCTGTAGAAGACGATCCTCTTTCCATCGTGCTTCTGTTCGAACCCAAAGGGCGTCCAGAGGATGAAGATAACGAATTTTACATTCAGAGTAAGAAAAATATTTGTGTTGGTTGTGGTGAAGGAAAACACTATTTAAGGTACAGAATAATACCCTCATGCTATAGGATGCACTTTCCTGAGCATCTAAAAAGTCATCGGTCCCATGATATAGTCCTCGTCTGCGTGGATTGTCATGAAACTGCTCATGCCGCTGCCGAAAAGTACAAAAGACAAATAGCTGCTGAATTTGGAATCCCGTTATTTGTTGGTAAAGTAGTGGAGAAACAAAATATAAATGCATCAGGTTCGCCTACTGTGTCGTTTGAGGAGATTGGTGTTTCTCCTTTACAGCTGCGTGCTGCTACTATGGCTCTTCTACGCCATGGACCACAAATGCCACCACAGCGTCGTGACGAATTAATGCAGGTACTGAACCTAATAGTTTGTCGAAAATTTAAACATAATTAAGTTCTTCTTTTTTTTTGAATTAATAGTTGGAATAGACAAGTCATATGCCAATCTTGATACTGTGTATAGAGATTTTAAATCTCATATCCTTCACTTCTTTACCATTTTCTTACAAGTCCTTACCACGAGCAGATTGTCAGGGCATACTACGGAGGGAGAGAAATATCGGATGCAGATCTTGAAAAAGCTTTGCTAGTTGGTATGAGTCCTCACGAGAGAAGAAAATTTGAGAAAAAGAGAGGCTACGCATTTAAACATATGACAAGAAGTATCAATTCGAACGATATGAAGCAAAATGATATGATAGAGACTGATCAGAAACAAGATTATGTTGATATTTTGAGCGTAGATGAAGCAGGAGTAAGCACTCAACCTTTATCGACAAATATTGGAGACGATACTGCATCAAGCACAGCTGATATTGATGATGCGACGACGTCAGATCTAAAGATAGAGAATGGTGGAGATGTTTCACTGAAGCATGAAAAATTGTCGTTACTAGGACATGGACCCCACGGAAAGCAGGTAGTTGCGTATCTTCTGAAGGAATATGGGGAAAATGGGATTAGTGATTTTTGTCAGAGATGGAGACAAGTTTTTGTTCAAGCCCTTCATCCTCGTTTCTTGCCTGGTGGATGGGATGTTATGCACAGGTATTCTCTATTTTTTTATATAAATACGGTGCTCGTTTTTGGTCCGGGATAACTGCTCATTTTGCTTTAGTAGGAAGTAAATTTCTTTATTTCTCTTGAATAGCTTCCGTATTAAGATGAGAACTTTATCTGAGAAATTTGTAGTATCATTTGTTTCACTACTGATTCATTTTGATGTGTTCAAAGGGATTGATATTGGACAATTTTTTGCCAGTGGTAAAAGAGATTTTGGCGAATTCAGCATCTTCAAACCCACAAAGAAAGCTTCTGATATTGATGCTGCAGGATAATAGCACGAGTTTTGTTCCTTTTTGCCCTTTTCGTTTTTGTTTTCTTTTTTACATATATTCCATTTTTTGTTGTATTATTTGAAAGAAATGTATACGTATAGCATTTCAGCGTTGGTTACCTTCGGAGCCATTGTCGACCGTCGTAGATCAATTTTACCTTGACCCGACGGAACCTTTTGCGGATATGAGCTGTAAAATTAAACAATTTTATTAGATTCGGATATTCAATATTTCATTTCTTATCAAATTTAATTTCCTTTTGAAAAGTTTTTATTGGTATGCTTCCGAATTTTGTTGTATCAAATATTTGGTACGGTGCTTTATTGTAATGGGTATTATGAAGTGATTTTCGGAACGAGCATATTGATTATTTTCAATCAAGTTCATTAATTTTCGATTTTTGAATTCTATAAATGAAAATATTTCCTTTAATACTTTATTTTCAATTTTCGATAATTGAATATGTTTTCTTAATTAGATTTCCCGAAAAAAGCCATTTCTGTATCGGTACAATGACTGAGTAGAACTAACTGAGAATTCTTGTGGCAAATGGCTATAAACAACGGAGCTTATCAAACAAGAACTCGGAAAAGCGGAAGCCATCCAAATACAAACGACGAAGAAACTAACGGATGGCATCCCAGGAGCCTTACAACTATGAAATTCTCCGTTATCTTTGCCATGGTAGATAAACAAAAACACTCAAAAACGTAATATCTCTTCTTTACCGAGGTTAATAATGGCTATGGTCTCGCCATATAACATGCGAGATGATACCAAAAACATGTTTTCAGAGAAAAGCTCGATTTACCTGCAAAAAATGAATAAATAAAAAACTGTCAGTGCCTTAATGGTATACCTGAGTGGACTAAAAATCCTCAGTTATAGAAAGTTCTTACCCGTTGGTGTTTGAGCTTAAAGTAGTAATAACTGTGACTTGTGATCAATGCCGTTGAAGATAAAAGTCCCACTCATCGGAATGAATTGTCTTGTTATGAGCTGCGGAATATAAGAAATGCTTCAAATTGCAGAAGAGACGAATATAATGATGTACATTTCAAACCATGGTAGTAACAAGACATTAAATAAGATCGAATAATTTGATCAATCGTGGCTTATCCCAACCAAGCAAGGCCTAACTACATTGCAATTTCCAGAATAAATTGATTACTAGTTAAACAATTCGTGTAAATGACCAACCGCACATCCACTAAATGAAGATGAAATTGGAAAATACAAACCTTGATCACTTCCTGTGATGCGATTCCTCCAATGAAGGCAGCCACAGCGTGAAGCTCTGCAGCACCATACCGGCACATCTCGTTAATAAGGTCTTCTGTCAAGGTCGATCCATTGCAACCCAAGTCATTAAGTAGAGTAATAGCTGTTGTTTTCAATCTGGAAATTTCCTCATCCATCTCACTATACAACAACAAAAACAGTTTGAAAACTAAGTCAGTAGGTGATTTTTTTTAATCGAAAACCTAATAATATCCAAAAATGGCATAAAATATTTTACCCATCTAATTGCCCTGGAAAACGATTACAATTTGCTGCAAAACGATCAACAGCTCGTAGAAGAATGTAAAATCCAACAGCAACACTGCAGCATAGATTCAGAAAAGTAACAAGAATTAGTGGATGCAAGCAACAAAACCACAAATGATAGGAAAGGCAAAACAACCAATAAAGCAAACAAAACTGCCTAAGCCTAGGTTAACTGAAAGAGAGTTGTGGAGTATAAATTAAAATACTCCCGAAATAATATCCAATACAACAGGAAATTACATTCAAAAGCAATTACATAATTTGATTCCGAGAAAATTTGCATACTGTTTTATGGTCTTATGTTTTGCTTTGGTAACTTTTGGAATCTCTACGTTCATAGCGAATATTCCAACTTATATCATCACAACACAAAATCATCCATTATTGATATTATAAGGTAAACGTACCAGTAGTCTTCATCTGTCAGATACTTTTGTAACTCAAGATGAACAGGTGAACTATACTCATCCTCTATCAGGCGATATCTGCATATCTAATAAATGAAAAATTATCAAAGCAAGTCAGCTATCAGGAAAATCGATGTCTGTGATGGAGAAAATAGCATAAGCATACAGTCTTTACATCCCCATGACAAGTTTGAATCCATTTTTTTTAACTTTGCAAATACGTCAAACGTAGTATTCTAACATTTAAAGGGAATCGAAATAATAGCTGACTGAAAAATTTAAGCACAAACCTTAACTTTTCGTGCATTTTTGCAGAAACTTTTAATTGTTGCCTTTGAGATGCTACCTGGATCTCTACCGATCTTCTTTAGTATTTTCCTCACGTGCTTCTCCATAACAAGAAAATCAGCCTCAGCCTTAGCCTGGTAGATTTGTTGTAGGTTGACATATAACCTACAACAGACTCAAGAAGCAAACCAAATCAGCATAGGGCTCATTGGTACACATAAAGGGTAAGATTTTGCTCAGAAAACACTAATCACTAACTCGGTAGAAGATGTCATATCCGGGATTGCTCCCTCCAGGGGTGCCTCTCCACCACCTTCATTAGCTATAAATTCCTGAAATGTGAAGCAAGAACCGAGACTTATGCAAAATCAAAAACCAAGTCCTATATGGTACAGTTAATATGTGAAGATGTTGTGAGTTACCTTTAGAGCTGCCACCAACACCCAAAAATCTGATGAACTGGAATTAACATCAGAACAGCTATCATTAATTATCTGCTGGAGGGCCGGACCTGAGATGAAAAATAGAGATCTCAGGAAGTTTGTTTTAAAAGAAGAAATCATAACATGTTTCAGATATCATCAGCTACTACACTGACAACTTCTATTTCTTGATAATATTCTTCATGATACTATAAAACCTTTTACTTATGAAGAGCAGAATGAAACTTTTAGTCTATAACTTCATGTCAGAAAAGAGAGGAACTAGAAATAATCTATTGAAAAATGCACAATTTCCTTTTCGTACATTGCTTCAACTCCACCATGTAGCTTGGTCTCAGTTAAATGTTGTAAATATTCAAATGAGTGCATGATGCCCAGAATATACAGAACATATTATGATTTATTGTTAGGTTTGGATGGCCAAGTGAGTGAGGCAATAATTTTCTTAAAAATGGTAGCTGAGAAACAAAAAGCCCCAGGTTTAGTAGAAAATAAAATATATGAAAGTTTAGCCTGTAGCTTAATCTCTTTTAGGAGCTCCTACAAGCCAACATTATAAACTACCAATTATTTCAAAACATAAAACTCAGGTTGACGAAAGATCAACTTACTAATTCCTTTCGGCGAAAAGACTTTGAATGAGGCTTCGATGGCTTCTTTGTAATTGTCTTCATCAGATGCAATCGTCTTGGCTTTGATTAAATCCTATAATGTCCACATTCAGAAACCAACAGGATCGCCTCAAAAGACAGACACGAGACGAGATATAAATTGTTGAGGCGGAAACTTATTTATGCACCTTAAATATTTTTTTCTCTTCCCTTGTTGATGGAAGATTTCCATCATGAGTTTTGGCCCACTCCTCTGCCATCTTGATGAGAATAATAACATAGGGAGTGTGTTTATGAACAACAGGATCAGCTGTATCCAGATCGATTGTCTCTGCAAATCTGTCTTTGATAAATACTCATTTGTCATCTTTTAAATAGAAATGTAAGTTGTGGGGCATAAGAGAAGTGTGCATAAGTTAAACAACATAAGAGAGGAGAAAACCTCTTGAGCTCTGGCCAAGGGTCATTTAGCCGAAGATCATCGAGAAAGTGATCAGGCTTTGATTCAATCACTGCATGTTCCTGCGCGAGAAGTGAGATTACTTTCCATGCCTTCAACAAGTCATTTTTTTCTCAAATAATATATTTTCACTGAAGAAAGGTCAAGAAATTAATTGAACAAGTTATTCATCCATGTCAAATGACATTAAATGATACTTTACAAATCCAAAAAAGGAAAGAAAAAAGATCTCCATGAGCTATTTTCATTTAAAAAAAACAATGTTTCTGAATGGTCCAGGAAATAAGTACGATTTTCTTTTTCTTTTTTTTCTTTAAAAGGGAGTAAAAATAATGCATTCAGAAATACCTTCACGCTGATACGAACACAACCAGTAAGGCCATAAGAACGTGCAAATATCAAAATGACATTAGCATCACGACAGATTTTATCCAGTTTGACCATTGAAGATTCAACAAGCTGAATAAGACACCAAGACACGATTTGTCAGATAATTTAGAATACTATTCATAATATAGCAGCTTCAAGGAACCAAACAATGAGTATTTAGATAAGACATCTACAGTTAAAAATAAAGAAAAGAAATTGACAACACGGTGATGCTTTGCAACAGTAACAATTATGTTTTAAAGTCCATCAAATTGAAGGGTAATACGGAAATAATAATGATAGATGGTTGTCCATGAAAAGGTCAGAAAATAATAAATATGTGGATGAGGATCGAAAAACTAGGAAGTCTAAATAACTTCTTTGATGATACTGCTACTTCTTATTCAAATCTTAATGGATGGGAAAGTTGAATAAACGGCAAAACTTGGAGGTAGTGTGTTGATAATCCTAGGATGAAGGATATAATAATTTGGCTAGTGTCGAGGAGAAGTAGTTGCAACCCTGATGATAACCCTGCACTTGTCAGGTATGTTTTTTTATACTTAATTTTCTCAAGATTAACTTAAATTAGACCAAACACGAAAGGTGACATTGTTCTCACTTCTTAGAAGCCAAGTCTACCAAGACCAAGACCAAGGTTTTATTTCAGGTGGAGAAAAGCAAACCAATTTGCATATGCTGATAACAAGAACTACCTCCGTGGACACAACAACTTTTCAAACAGCAACTACCTTGTACAAGTAGACGACAACTTGAACAACATTTAGTCTTACTGCTTTAATGAATGGCAAGTAAAAAACATATAGCATATGTTAATCCCCTACTAAATTTGAGGTACGGAAATCAATAATTTACATTAAATCCACTCGAAAAGACGGCCAAGCTACACTAATACAAGAGATCATTGTTTTATCAAATAATAAAGCATGAACTTCACATCTACCTATCTGTCGACCACATTTATAATTCTAACGATGTAACAAATATATTGTGAATGAAGAGTACTCTAAGTCGCACCTGTGTGGCCACAACCAAAGTAAATTGCGAAAAGAACGAAGGGCTGGATTGGATTAACTTTTCCGGATACTCTTCGATGAATTTCGCCTTGACCGCATCGTTCAACTCCTGTAGAAAGGCACAAACGGTCTTCGCCTTCGATTGCCCAACACTCGATTCATCCACTGGATTAGCGTCAATTCGAAGTAGTAGAAAAAAACATAAATCTCCATTATTAAAAATAAATTAACAAAAAAAAAAACAAAGGGAGAATCACACTCAATGAAAAGACTGAGGTAGGAGGAGAATTTATACCCATGAAATTATTTCCAAGGTCCCCAATTTCAACTTTAGAGCCATCAACAACAGTAATACTTCCGACCCCACCGAGAACCAGATTTTTCAAGGTTTCTGAACCGGTCGGACCGCAGTTCAGCAAACATATGCTCGCTTTCTCGAGAGATGCTTGCCCTTGCTCTCCCCATATTCTGCACACACACACACACACACACACACGCACGCAAAATTGAATTGCGAACAGCGATTGTGAGTGAGATTAGCAGGGAGTGAAAACTAAAAATCGTGGAAATTGAGGGGAGGAAAATGTGAACAGTGAAAATAGATTGCGTATTACCTGAGCTGACGATCGTATTTAGTTTTGGATTCCGCCATTGACGATTTGCTTGGTTGATACGCGGAAGTGAGAGGAGACAGAACTTCCGCTGTGGCTTTCTTCTCAAGAGGGGGAAAAGAAGAAAGTGTTAAGGGGATGTTTGGTTTCGAATAATTTATGATTCGGCTTTTGATTTTTTTAAGACTTTTTATGGGAATCAAAAGAAATGCAACCTAATTGAATTTGTTTACAAGTAATTGTTATTTGTAAATTTATATTGTACAAATTTATTTTGGGCAAATTGCCACTCTTATGTATGACCAAATTACGAAAAAATCATTTTGTTTGGGTAATTACAGCCACCCTCTCCTTTTAAATATTTTTACATAAAATTATTTAATTCGGTTTTTTACCAAGCCAAATCGTATATTCAGTTCAGTGAACGGTATAAAATGTTGGCGTATCGAAATTTTGGTTCGATTTTATCGATTTAACATTCCTAAATTTACCTTTTGAGAGGTATTTTCATAAAATAATACATAGTTAAGGGGTGACTGTAATTATCCAAACAGAAGGGAGATTTCATAATTTGACCATAACTCAGGGGTGGCCGTAATTTGCACTTTATTTTTATCGAATTCGTTGGGCTTGTGCGTGAAAATTATGTTTTCTCAATCCTATCTTATTCTTGTTGCAATATTTTTTATAATTAATTTGTGACTAATTATTAATTAGTATAACACAACCATTTATAACTCTAATACAAGTACAGAAGAATTTTGGTAACTTTGACAAAATTGTTAATGTGTATAAATCAATACTGATGTCGCGATTAGGTAGTTTGAAAAAGAAAATGAGTTAATGGCGTGAATAGGATGTATATATTATCCGACCCCCGCCCCGCCCCACCCCACCCCACCCCATTTTCGACGGGTAATGCCTGCGTCGTTAAGGATTGGGGTAGGGTAAGGGTTTTACAATTTATACCCGCAATGGGTAAGGGGTGGGTACAAAAAGAATCCGGTACAAAAAGAATTCGCTACCAAAAGAGGGCCACCATGTCAACTCGAAGAATACCTGGGTAATGCTGGAGATATCCACCACCAGTGAGGAAGTACTCATTAACGCGCTGGCACAAGGGTTGCGCATGGGAGATTTATTCGATTCCCTGCCTAAGAAGACTCCTGCCTCTTTCAACGAGTTGTTAAACATGGCAGTAAAATATATAAATGCGGAAGAAGCTCGCCAGATTCGGGCCTCTGAATCGCTCCCGATGATGGAAAGGAAGAAAGAAAGAGCCAGGGAGAAAGAAGAAAAGCGGAAGTTGCAGCTCGACGAGACATGGGTGTCGAGAGAAGTGCCTGATCACGCTTTGAAAATTACGCTTCCCTCAGTGCGACCCCCTCGGAGATACTGGTGATCAAATGACATTTTGTCCCATTTAAACAGTAATATACTTGTGGTTGATAGTCATATTAAAGGTGTAAATGTCATTTGTCCATTTTCCACCACTCTTGAAAGGCGAAATTACCCTTTACAATTAATGAAATCGGGCGATAATTAGCCCGAAAATACACATTTGAGGCAAAGTGCACTGAGTGATGTATTTCTAAGGGAGACAGTATCATTTTCCTATTTTTAGGGGGAAAGTGCAGAACTGGCATTTGTTAGGGGGCGAAGTGTAATTTACCCTATCTATTATTATTATTACTTAATATTTTTTTTAATTTCTTTTTAACTTTTTTATTATTGGTAAAAATGAAATTCACCGAAAGTATAAAATGGGGGTTAAAATCAAATGTTAATTACCTGGGAGTTTGATTCACACTCGCTTTCTTCGGCTTTTCACATTGCGATCTCGTCCTCCATTAGAGCGCACACACAATTTGGACTGTGCAGCAGCTACTTTAGAGAGAGAGAGAGAGAGAGAGAGAGAGAGAGAGAGAGAGAGAGAGAGAGAGGAAAATGGCAGTGAAGCCTAGGGTTTTGAAAGCAGCTCTGGGGCTGATGGCAGTTTGCCTGGCAGCGTACATAGTGGGACCCCCTCTGTATTGGCACTTGATGGAAGGTTTGGCCTCCGCTTCCGCCTCAGCCTCGTGCCCTTTGTGCAATTGTGATTGCGATTCTGTTCCCCTTCTCTCAATTCCCCAAGGTATTTATCGCACACCTTTTTTTTTTTTTTTTTTTTTTTATGTTAGATCTGCTTTGATCCTTCTGTTTCCCGTGTTAATTTGCGCCTGGGCTTAGGTTTCTCTGTGTCATATGTGCCTTTTTATTTTAATTGCGATTTGATTGGATTGGATTTGACGCGGGGCATGATAATTGGGTTTTTGGGCTTAAGAAAATGCGTTTTTGGTGTTTGTTTGTTTGTTTGTTTGTTTCCATTATTGAATATTGATTTTCATTTGGTATGGAAACATTTTCATGATTTTTGCATTGTACTCACACGAATTTCCTTCTCTGACTAGAAAGTGATTCAAGATTGGGGCTTTTTGTGGCAGTTACAGCTGAATCTGTTTGTATAAATTTGATGAATTAACGTTACTATGACTTCGTAAAGATGTGAATTTGGCTGCTATTTGTATTTGAATGGTAGAATCTCGTGAAGAGACTTAGCAATTATAGCATGAATAGGTGACGAAAAAGATGTACGAGTTGTCCACGAAAGTGTGACAAGAAGATTTGCTGCTGAGCGTAAATAGGTTTGTATAAGTTCGACGGCTGTATTAGGCAGTTTTTGGAAGTTGAAATGCAGTATAGGATAGAATTAGCCCCTGGATAAAAATTAAAATAAGATATGTCCTGTTTTTTACGCCTCTTTTCTCGAGAAACATATAGCCCCTTCTCAATTGATCATTGTTGCTGGTTGATCTTCGTAATTAAAAATAAGAAATGAATAAAGGTTAATTACGGTGTGCAATGGTGTTGAGAAGTGTGACGCAGATTCTGTAGTCTTAAGTCATTGCAATGCAGATTAGATTGAGAATTACACCTATGCTCAACGTGTTTTTACCCTAATCTTATTCCCGTGAGCTTCTCCTTAATAGTATGTGCAAATGTTGTGCGACCATGCCTCCATTTGTATCATTTTCTCTGCTACTAAATATGTATCACAGCAGCTTTTATAGATATATAATTGCAAGTTTGTGCATCGTGGATGTTAACTTGAATCTCTTTCTATAACTTGATGTTTCTGCTTCAGATGTAAAATTTTGCTAATAATTAGTACTTGTCTTTTTTGCAGGGCTGAATAATGCTTCCTTTGCTGGTAAGCACTTCGTACTTTGGCTTAAAATATATTCTCGTTTCACATGCTTGTAGTTTTGTTTGTTATCTAGTATCATGCTTCGTGTGTTGATTTTTTGCGTTGCATATTTTATTAAATAAAACTAAATCACATATATCTGGCAGAAAATTATACAGAAATTTTATTTACCTTTTTATGTATTTATGTTCGTATAGAAACATGCGTGCAAATACAAGAAGAATTACAGCTTTACTCTCATCTTAAAGTGCATGCACAAATTAACGAGACAAGTTTTTTTTTCTTTCTATACATATGTTCCGCTGTTCTTCACTTGTACTCAGTATGCAATAAGCTTTATAAATCTACTTACATGTTTTATAAAGGGAAAATATGATGGCTATAGTTTCTTTTTCTTTTTTTCTTTTTCATCTTCTAAATCCTTCATCGAAATGGAAATTGAATCTAGTTATAACTTCTATTTCTCCAGTAGAGCTTTGAAAAGTCGAAGAAACTACCATATTCCCTCACGTATGATAAAGATTTCAATGTACAAAGGGACCTAGACCGTTTAGTCGGTTATATGAACTTTTAATTGCTTACTTCTTACAAGTTACAAGCTGTTACATTAGTGATTTACCTTTTTCCTTGCCAATATTTTCTATATATTATTGTTTCTATACAAAATGTTTCTTTATCTAAGCAATATTATGGAGAAACTGAAACAGTCCTAATTGAATTCTCGAGCATTTCGGAATTTGAATTTGTTATTTTCTAATCACGCCCCACAGATTGTGCAAAGCACGATCCAGACGTGAGCGAGGACACACAGAAGAACTTTGCAGAGCTACTCTCCGAGGAATTAAAACTGCGAGAAGCTGAAGCTTTAGAACACCAGCAGCGCGCTGACATGGCACTCCTCGAGGCCAAGAAGGTGACATCACAATACCAGAAAGAGGCAGACAAGTGCAATTCCGGTATGGAGACATGCGAGGAGGCAAGAGAAAAATCCGAAGCAGCTTTATCTGCACAGAGACAGATGACAGCTGTGTGGGAGCAGAGGGCTCGTCAAAGAGGTTGGAGGGAAGGAAATGCCAGGTCACAATCCTAGTCGAAACAAATCATATATATACATATCTATATAGTTCTTTCCAATTGATGCGTTCGGCTCTCGATGCTCTCGTTTGAAGGGCATCACTAAATTCCGAGTATCGGGTGTTATATTAGCTGAAAGCGGAACATCCGATATCTGAAGAAGATGATGATGATCCAGTCTTGTTATTGTAGAGGTAACATTTTCCACATTTATTATTATTATTATTGTTTGTTGGAATTTCATTTGGTAAGAGAAGTCGAGGTTTCCGTTTCGGGAGAATCTTGTGTACTCATATTTATAATGGTATTAGTTCTTTGTTCAATCAAATGGCAAGACCTGAATGCATTTTTTTGCACTTAGTTGTTTAATGCCGTCTTCGTTAGGTTCGGATTCTTTACGCAAATTTTAGTGGTTCATACGTTTTCTTGTTTTGGCTCACTTTTAAATCCCATGTAATATAAAGATTTGTTAGGGTTTTTTACACAAGTTATAGACATAAGAAAACAAGAGAGAATTTACTGCATATATCCATCGTTCGACAGTCTTCTTAGTTCTCGTACTGAATGATCAGTTGTTGTTCGATTCGAAAAATAAGGAAAATGACAACACAAACACGAACCCTTTCTTGCTCGATCGAACTAAGGATTTCATCGACTTCTTGATTTGATGCTCAAACACCTCCCAATCTTTTAAATATGTCAGATACAGAATTCGACATGATCAAAATCTATAAGCTCTTCAAGTGTATTAATCGTACGAAACAATATCCACAAAATGACTAAAGCAACTACCGAAGTCGTCTGATAATAGCTCATACAAAATCCGACTCACTTGTTCGACAAAGTAGATAACACCACTAATAAATATCCAAAAAAAGATAAAAATACTGAGAAATAATGCAATTTCATATACATGAACAACGATGATACGATTATTTAACTTTGTCCAGTTCAACACATACAAAATGCGGCATCACAAATAAATAAATGAAAACAATAACTCCAAATAAACTGTTATTACACAAACCACACCGCACACACAAAACTATTGTATAATCCTCATATATATATATATATATATATATATATATATATATATATATATATATATATATATATATATCACTCTGCCTTTTTAACATCGGTGGATTCAGAAGAAACCTTCTTAAGAGTGATGGACGAACCTTTAATCTCAATCTCATCGTATCTCTGAAACAACTGCGCCAGTAACAAAGCACCGCTCAACGGCACCACATCCTTCGCCGGACACTGCTTGTCCGCCGCTGTGGGCCCGGTGCCGCTCTGCGGCCCGTTCGACCAGAAGAGGTACTTCAGAAGCTCCTCGCCGCCTTTCGCGCAGCTGAATCTGTCGTACACGAACTCGTTAGGGTTCTCGAACACCTTCGGATCCCGCATCACCACCGGCTGGAACCCGCAGAGGAGCTCCCCCTTCTTGACCTCGAAAACCTTGTCGTGCGAGCTCAGATCGAAATCCTTTCTCGCTCTGCCGAACTGCGACGGGATCGGAGGGCCGAATCGGAGCGTCTCGTACACGAACGATTTGATCAGATCCATTTTCCTCACCGCGTCGAAATTCAGGTCGCCGTTGTTCTCCTCGATTTTCTCTCTGGCTTCCTTCCGGAGCGCCGCGTGTACGTCCTTGTGGGTGGCGAGGTTGCCGAGGAGCTGGGTGAAGAGGATGACGTAGCCGCCGTATGCGCTGAAGGCGAGTATCGAGATGGCGTTGTGAAGGGCTTCTTCTTTGGTGAGACCGAAGTCCTTCTGGCCTCGGTCGAGGGTTTCCTTGCCCTGGATCTCGACGAATTTCTCGAGCTTTTTGTAGTCAGATTTGATCGGCCAGAACGGGAGGGAGAAAGAGTGGATGAAGAGCTCTTCGAGGGGTTGGACGCGGTTGATGCTGATCGTCGGGAGGTACTGGAAGGCGATCCACTTGTCGGCCATTACGTGGCCCGATTTGTGGATCTCCGGTACGGCGGTGGTGTCTGCTCCGATGAGACTGCGGCTGAGGAAGGAGAATATGCTTTGCTGGATGGGGAGGAGGTAGCTGCCGGTGCTGCCCTTCTTGGACTCGATGGAATCCCACGTGGCGTCCAGCGCGGCCACCATTGTCGGTGCCCATGTTTTCGAGCTGCGCATTAGCATGTCTAGACAGAAGTTCTTTATCTGCAAAAAAATCAAAAAAAAAAATGGCGGGAATTGAGTTTTGAAATTATTTAATTTTCGTTAAAAAGTGCAAAACTTACAGTAAAACAGTTATAGAATTGGTTAGTATCATTTAATTGTTTTTTTTAATTAACTTAAATTCGACCAAAAATAATTTAGTTAAGTAAATAACATTCGAAGAAAAAAAAAATCGAATATTGAGAAAAAACTAATGGATATATAAATTAGTTGAAGTAATAATTAATTCAAATCATCGATCAGATTTATCAACAAGATTATAATCGATTATAATTATTTATGTCTTGGATAATAATAAGATTTCTGATGAGGGGTTACTATGTAATTAAAAAAATAAGAAATAAAAGGAATTGACTATGAGGTGAAGAATGATTATATATTTAATATTAGTTGCAAAAATAATGAAGTATTATTTTGTTTTTAGTTTAATAGTAAATATTTGGTTTAAGGGTATTTTGGTCAAATCATATCCTTTAAATAACAAAAAAATATTTTAATTACTTAAAAGAGTTCGAAATTTAAGTGGATCAATATACAAAACTAAAGTATATAGCCTATAGGATATATATGTAAGCACAAAAATATATATTTTTATTATTTTTAGGTAAAGAGTAATATTTTGAAAGCTTAATATTGCATGAAAGTGAATTTTGTTTTTAATAATAACAAAATAAATATCAGACAAATGTTTATTATCTTCCAATAAAATAATAAAAATAGGATTTATTGGATAGTACAAACTACAAAGTAGATATTTTGGTCAACTAATCCAACCAAACACCGACTAATATATTATTATTTAAATGAAAGGAATCAATCAATTGCGTGTGTTGTCCACCATGTGCATTATTTTGACCCCAAAAGCCGCCTCGTGGTTAACACTACATTGTTGTAATAAATAATAATAATATAATGCATATTTGCAGTTCATATCTTAATTATTACACCATTGATTTTTGGGTACATTACCAAACCCCCTCAACTTTAGGCTAAAGTTTAAAAAACACTCCCACCTATCCGTAATTAACAATATCCCCCAACTTTTGTTTCTGTCTTACATCGAACCCCTTCGATTTTTCAAGGCATCTTTCTAATTCTAGGTAATATTTCTCGGAAAATACCAATTCTACCCCTGGAACGTCGAATTTCTTTATGCTACTTTTTATGGACACAAAATAGTCTAGAGGGGTAATGATAATACTAAAAAATTGTGAAGATGTTTCTTAAGAAGAATAAAGATTCCGTGTAATGTGGCCATGAGAGTAATTTTTGCATGTAAAAAGTAGCAAAAATAAATGTCACGTTCCGTAAGAATAGAATCGACATTTTTTAGAAAATATTCCCTGGAATCCAAAAATTTCCGTGAAACTAACACCTAAGGAGATCGATGTAGGATGGAAACAAATGTCGGGGGTTTGGTAATTGCTGATAAGTGATGGTATTTCCGTAATTTAACCTAAGTTTAGGGGGTTTTCGTGGTATACCCTAGATTTTTCAAACTTTATAAAAAATAATTGGGGACGATCTTTTCTTAAAAAATAACATCTTAGGGACTACTATCATAACTCAAAAAATTTAGGGACAATATCGAAAAAAGGATAAAGTTTGAGGACCAAAATGTAATTTTTCCCACGTAAATATACGAAAGTGCAAAAAAAATACAAATATGTAATGAGATCTAACAAGTAATATAGCTTTGAAATAAGAAATTAATTAGTTGTGTAGATTTACTAATTAGCATGACAAAATTAGTTATAATCACCAAATTAGCAATCAATTTAGGAAATATAATAATAAATTAAAAAAACGAGAATATAGGTAAATAAAAACGTATATATATATATACCTGAGCATGTTTGGGGTCGGTTGTATCGAGAAAGGGCAAAACCCTAATACCGCCGGTGAATTTGAGATCGGGCCTGAAATCTCCGACCAGCGTCTCCGTCTTATCGACGAGATCCATATCAAAGAGGTGCGAGAACGATTTAACGTCCAGCAGCGCCACCACGTTGGGGTTGACGCCGCCGAAGAAGGGGAACGCCGGCGGAACGTTCGTGCGGAACACGGTGCTGTTGTACTTCTCTATCCTCTTCTCGAAGAAGCTCGACGGGCCCTGGAACCAGAAGTACTGCAGCCTGTCCGACAACGGGCCGAGCACCGGCCACCCGTAGCTTCCGGGAATCGCCGATCGCTGGAGCGCCGGCGCCGATGAAGACGGTAGTGACGTCATCGTTGTGTCTGGATTGGTCGGAGTAGTGTGTACCGTTGAAAAAAGGGGGGAGCAGCGAAATGTCTAGAGAGAGAAAATGTCTAGAGAGAGAAAAATGTGTAGTGGGACAGGTAATTTATCTCATTTCATTATGTTGATATTTATATATATATATATATTGCAGTGTACACGTGGCAATAGATGTGTGAACGCGCTTTCATCTGTAAATTGACACGTATGTACGCGACTTATTAACTTGTTCAAATTAAATAATACATGTGCTAAAGTTCATTAATTAATATTATATAAGGGAGTAGGTTTTATCTTTCTTTTTTTTGTTTAATTATATATATAAATATATATAATATATATTTTAGGACAATTACAAAGAGCCTTGAGATAAGGCTTAATTACGAAAAAATCCTCTTCATTTGCATAATTACGAGGTAAATAAGGCTTAATTACGAAAAAATCCTCTTCATTTGCATAATTACGAGTACCCCTGAAACTAACAAGCTGCAAAAAAAGCCTAACAAAATGTAGTAATTGATTAAAATATCCATGTGTTAAAATAGTTAAATGAAAGAGAAGAAAAAAAGGTTTTATATTCAATTTTTCGATTTTCCTACATTTGGCCCCTCGTGCAATATAAAGCCTTACACAAAACCCCTTATGGCATCAAAACGGCTAGTTAACAGTAAACAGAAAAAAAAATTAAGATAAAAGAGTTTAAAAGAAATATTATAAGAAAAAAAATAGAATTAGTTTACGAACCTTACAATTAGACCCCAAAGGGTGGTATACTGGTCATTACAATAGATATTTCATGGAATCTATTTAACTCTGTGAAGATAAATTCATTAGACTGAGAATACATCAGGATAGTGTTAATTATTACGCAAACAATAAGGGAGTTTTTCGTAATTAGGCCTTAGCTCAAGAGACTCGTAATTTGTCCTATTTTTTATATTGTTAATCCTATTTATTTATTATGGGTCGTGGCGGATTCGTGATATGGTGAGTGGTCCAAAACAATTGAACCGATACAGATATGGAATTAAAAAATCGTGTATGTCGATTGAAAATATATATATATATGGAAAGTTCTAGCACAACAAATTCAACCCAAAATCGTATATATTTGAATAATTAGCCGCCTAGTGTGACGTGTCACGTTTATTATTAATAGGAGAAATTATTTTTGTCTTCCTCTTTTCAATTTCTATCGCCTTTGAAATTTCTAATTCTAAAAGAATTGTCAATATATATAAATATTTTAGGTGAATATATATACATAAATATTGAAGTGAAGTAATAATGATTGATATATATTGCATGTTGAATTTGTCAACTGTAAACATCACTTGGTAAATAGTTAACATCATAATTAACAATAAACCAATCCTGTTTCCCACGTTCTCTGGAATATATATAATTTTTTTTCTTCTGATTTAAGTATTATTTAATTAATTAATGTGGTCGATATAGAAATTAAATAAATATTGGATCCATGTGAATGCTTATATATGACTTGAATTTATAATATTGTTTTGGGCCAAGGCCCATCAAGTGTAATATATAATACATGAATTGAAGCCAATTTCATATCAATCTAGCTGGCAGCAAAGCTATTCAATTTAAAAAAAACAAAGAAAAAAATAAAAATAAAATAAGAAGCTGACAGCAAAGCCATGATGGTGTCCAGCAATTTTTTAATCTGCCAATATTCTATATGTTTAGACATGTTTAGAGTTGAATCGGAAAGCAGCAGCGGCGAAGCCAGAATTTTATATCTGTACGTGCAGTAAAAAGATTTATGGAAGGGGGTTAATCGATAATGCTACCATACAAGAATAATACTAATTAGGAATTTGAGAAATATGTTGGGGGCCCATGCCCCCAATGGGCTATATATATGTTGGGCTTCGTCATTGGGCTTGGATCCCGGTCGGACTACTTTTTACTTTTATTAATAGGCTTAGTTTTGCATCAATTGTTCACGTGAGAGGTCTTCACGATGCTATGCTCGGTGAAATACGTCAGGTAATTATTACCTGTTGATGTGGTGAAATAAGATCCCAGTAAGTACACATACATGTGGGTGCGTGTGATTGTGTACAGATCAATGATTAATAACCACTCGAAGTATTTCACCAGGTGTAGCATCAAACAAACCATCTGGCCAGATGATCATTTGACCGTTGACCACATGACTCATAAGCCCAACTCTAGATGCATGACGACCGTTATATTTGTAATTGATTTATTACATTTATTCTCTATGATTCATCATGTTGGTCTTGAAAATGAGCTGAGCCGGTTCGATAAAAACTCGAGCTCAAGTTTTGACAAGTTGAATTCGAGCTTTTCCTTAGTTGTTCTTGAGAATTCAAGGTTTATTACATCTAGCATCCTTGTCTTTACTCTAATTTCCAAAATCCCCAAAATCCGATATTATTAACAAACTATTCCTAAAAACACACTATATCTTGAAGTTGTATGCTAAAATATATAAATAAATGCATCATAAAACATATGTCTGTACGTTAATATTTAAAACACGAGGAGTTTCTTCATAATTCAATATAATTAAGACATAGGTTCTTACTATAAACTCCGAGAATTCGTGTTTACGGAGGCGTAATTACCGTACACGTTTATGCAATTTCGTAGTTTGAAAGTTTTTTTTTTAATTAATTAATTTATCAGAGCAAATATGTCTTCCTTTATTCCAAACCCTAATTATCAACCATACACAATCCAATCCCATGCATGCATGCGTCACTCGGCCTTCTTAAGAGCGGTAATGGATCCCGACGAAACCTCGATTTCATCGTACCTCCGAAACAAGTACGCCAAAAACACGGCAGCAGTAAGCGGCACCATATCTCTACCCGAGCACTGTTTGTTCCCCGCCGAGGGGCCATCGCCCCCTCTCTGCGGCCCATTCGACCAGAACAGATACTTCAGCAACTCATCACCTCCGCCTCTCTCCTTACTAAACCTATCGAACACAAACTCATCGGCCTTCTCGAAGATTCTAGAATCCCTCATCACTATCGGCTGATAACCGCATAGTAGCTCCCCTTTCTTGACCTTGTAAACCGCGTCGTGCGAGCTTAGGTCAAAGTCCTTGCGGGCCCTACCGAACTGGGACGGGACAGGTGGCTTCATTCTTAGGGTTTCGTAGACGAATGAGTTGACCAGGTCCATTTGTTTCACCGAGTCGAAGCTCAAACCGTCGGCTGCAGTGAGTTTCTCTCTCACTTCTTTTCTGAGTTGTTCTTGAACTTCTTTATCGTTTCCGAGGTTTGTGAGGAGATTCGGGAGTAAGATAGAGAAGCCGCCGAAGGCGTTGAATCCGAGTATGAAGAGGAGGTTGTGTACGGCTTCTTCTTTCGTGAGACCGAAATCTCGTTGTGCGATATCTAGGGTTTCCTTCGCTTCTTTTTCGACGAAATTTACGAGCTTTTGGTAGTCGGATTTGATCGGCCAGAATGGGAAGGCGAAGGAGTGGAGGAAGATCTCTTCGAGCGGTTGGATGAGGTTGATGCTGATTGTCGGGAGGAGTTGAAAGGCGAGCCACTTGTCGATCATTATGTGGCCGGAGTTTTGGATCTCCGACGAGGCGGCGGAGGTGTCCGCTCCGAGGAGGGTGCGGCTGAGGAAGGAGAAGAGGAATTGTTGGAGCGGGATGAAGTAGCTGGCGGCGGAGCCGCCACTGCCACCGGCTGCGGTGGTGGAGATTTGGGCGTCGACGGAATCCCACATGGCGTCGAGGGAAGTCACCATTGATGGTATCCAAGTTTTCGAGCTTCGTTTTAAGATGTCAAGTGAGAAGTCTTTTGCCTGCCATGCATGCATATTTTTTCATGTAAAATAATTAATAAACATTAATTAATTAATGTATATCGTATGTAGATACTACGTTTCGGTGAAATACATCGAATAATTTTTTTTTTTTCTATTTTTAAGCGTGTAAAATATGTACGAATATATACACATGTATGATATGATATATATAACACGGTCAAATCTATCGGGTATAGCATAGAATAACCTGTATACCGTACATCGTACCCTTTGAATCAAATTCGAGTTTATCGTCTCGATAAAAGTATCTTTAACAAATGAATTTGATTAATTACTTTTAAAGTATTTAGTATTTTTGTATATTTACATACATGTTTTTATTAATTATATCTAAGTGAGGTTTTTACAAATTATATATGCTTATTTATCTTTATTTAATTAAGAGAGTTCATAATTTATTTTGATCAAATAGTGTATACCTTATTTCCAATTCAAATAACTAAAATAATTGTTTTTTGTCTAATATTTCTTATTATTGTGTATTTATTATAGTGATTTACATCTTTAGTTTAACGATTAATTTGGTTACAAGTTAAGCTACTCTATTTGAAAAAACCAAATCTTAAAGTATTTTTCTAATAAATAAAAAAAAATTAAGAATTAAATTTTCTCATGTTTCAATAGAGTTTTGTAATTAATTTCCAATATTTTATTGCAAAAAAGGTACTTTATTTCATACTACATAGGATGAAGTTATGAACGGAACAGCTCATATGAAAAAAGAAAGAAAGAAAAGAACATATCCTATAATGTTTGTGTCTTTAATGATATGTCGACAAAGTATAAGGACCACTTTCCAAAATATAAATTGGATGGAACAAATTAATTTTCTTGGTTTGTTTGGGTACATAATTCTATAAATAACATTGTGGGGCTATTTTTTTTTTTTAGAAAAACTTAATCCCAAACAAAATTCTTTGATGTACCCTTTTTTTTTGTAATTTTTTCAATTTATATAATATTAATGTATACATTATAGTTCCATTACTTATTTTACTATAATTGTATGGTTTAATTTGTAATTAAATAAGATTACATATATAAAGTTAAAATATAGTTGGTCGATCGGGTAATTATCGACTAACTGACTTTCAATGTTACTCAAACCGGCCAGCCCGACCCAACTATTATATAGTGGATCGGTTGGTTGATTGATCAGATGATTATCGGTACGAAAATTACGGTTTCCATCTCTCACTGATTTCGTATTTGGTTCCTTATGTTCACAAAAAACACATTTGGTCCTCCATGTTTCAAAAATTCAACATTTTTAGTCCAATTCGTCAATTTTCCGTTAAAACTAACGGAATCAAGTGTGTGACCATCGTTGCCTTAACTAACGGACTCACGGTAAACTGACGAAGATGACCAAAACTGTTAAATTATTGAAACATGAAGGACCAAATATGTTTTTTTGAACATAAGGGGACCAAAACACAAAATCAGTGAGGGATGAAAACCGTAATTTATATATGCGTTAGTAAATTAAATTTGTAACCGGATTTGAATTTCTGAAAACAATTAAAATAAAAAATAAAAAATTGAAAGTTGACTAATCCAAAAACACCTCATATTTCGTTTTAAAATAATATAAGGAGTTAAATGCAACATATAGTACCATGTGCATTTGAAAGTAACATGTGCATTAGTTTAACTATAGAAGGCCATTTGTACATTGGACTATTATCATTTATCCATACATGTTTCACCAATTTCGAGACAATCGTCCATATCTTAACGTACATTTCTGCATGATTCTTGCATCTAAGTATATATATATTTATCTTGCTTATTTCTGCATTACTGTCGGCAGGGGCGGAACCAGGATTAAAATGTAGGGGGGCTAACTAAAATTTTGGGGTTCGGAGCAGCGCCCCGAAAAAAATTTGAGGTGCACAAAACATTGCAAAAAATAAGTTTATATAACTAATTTTTAATTAAAATATCATATATATATATATATATATATATATATATATATATATATATATATATATATATATATATTAATCATCACAACAAATTCTAAATTAATTCAAATTATTCTAATAATAACTGCACTTAATATTTCGGAGATTCATGGCACGATCTCATCTTTTATTTTGAAGGCGTTAGATAAAAAAAATTCAAAAATAAGTAATATTCATAAATTTTGTTTAAAATAATACAAGTTTTAACCATCTTATTTTATATTTTATATTAAATATGATTATTTATCTATAACTTATATAAGATTTTGGAGAAAAAACAAAAAAAATAATGGGTCAAAATAAATATTTACAAAAACTTTGGGGGGTCAAAAGTAATATTCAAAAAATTAAGTACTAAATATCTAAATTTTTTTTTTTTTTTTTCTTGGGGGGTCAATGGCCCCCGGCCCCCCATGCCCCTTGCATGTTCCGCCAGTGAGTGTCGGTGAAGGTTATATTTGTTACTGTTAATTTTCACACACCGATATGGTTGTGTGAGTGTGTTTGTGTGTGTATATGAGTAGTAAATATTTGTCGGTTGGAATTCACTCGATTTAGTATAACTTCATTAAGCAATAATTGGACACGCTGTTTTGACACGTGTACAAGCTTGAAGCCGGCTTATTGATCGAGGACCAATTATTTGCCGACCCCGATTTTCTAATCCGTTAGTGTAATTTACAAAGTTTGATTACGGTTTAATAAATTCAAAACCGCAAATCAGGGGTTCGAATCATCGATTTGAGGTGGAAAAAAAATTCTAAATTTAGAATATAAAAAAACCATCAAATCGACGGTGAAAACCCCCATTTTTTTCCTTGTTATTATTACAAAATAAATACATCCCCAGTGTACCCCAAGGGGGCAGTCGCCCCTCCAGATTTTTTGTTGATTTTCTTATTAGTTTTTTAGCCTCCCTAAAAAAATAAATACACTTACTTATAATTCATTTTAAATTTAAGGAATTTCAATGATGATATATGCTTGTATTACGTTAACTAAACTTTATAATTATTTTTGCTTTCTAAAGTAATTGAAAAAAAAAAAAAAATCGGGGCGCTATCCCTGAATCTCCGTAAATCCTACCCCCAACAAAAACTCTATGAATCCGCCCCTACCCGTCCGACCCGGATTAAGTTCATTCTTTTTACTAGTCTCAATTATTTTTTATTTTTATTTTTATATTATCGTTTTATAATATATTGGAATACAAAATTAGTTCATAGTGGAATATTGTTATATATTGATCTTTAAAATCTGGTTATACTCACCAAAGTAACAAATCAATTTAATTTATTTATTAAAAAAATGTTTGATTAAGAATAAAAAAAAATAGAGAAAAAAAAAATATCTATATATATATATATATATATATATATATATATATATATATATATATATATACACACACACACGTACCTGAGCATGTTTAGGGCTCGGAGGTATCAAGATAGGCGCAAACCCTTAAACCGGCGGTGAAGCTGACATGCGGCATGAAATCTCCGACCAACACATTCGCCTTCTCGACGATATCCATATCAAATAAGTGCGAGAACGACTCCACGTCCAGCACCGCCACCACATTCGGGTTAACTCCGGTGAAGAAAGGGAACGCCGGCGGCACGTTCGTACGGAACACCGTACTTTTGTACTTCTCTATTCTCTTCTCGAAGAATCTATTCGGCCCCTCGAACCAGAAATAATCCAGCCTGTCGGACAACGGCCCGATCACCGGCCACCCGTGGCTCCCCGGAATTTCCACCCTCCGGGCCGCCGCCGCCGCCGCCTGAGACGGCGGTGGCGGTGGTGTTAGCGGCGCCACCGAAGCTAGTGATTTCATCATCATATCTAATCGGCGGAATTAATCAAATTTGGTGGTAGAGTTTATATATATATGGAGTTCAGTGTTGTATTGTATGCACCTCTTTTATAAGTGGTCTACTCCTGAAATAGGAATATTTTTTTTTATTTCTTTTTTAATTTTATTATTTATTATTTTTCATGATAATAATGTGAAAGGAATTTAAATAATATTAGATTTATCTCTTTGTTCTTGCAACATATTATGGCCATACATTGTTAGAAGAGACAAATTCATGAATTATCAAATAAAATAAATTAAAAGTTTGACCTTTATAAAATAATATACGAACACGAAACAGTGTAAACGAATCGAGTCGAGCCTGCGTACAAAATTTAGAAGTTTGTTTGATTTTATTTTTATAAACTTTAAATGTTGTATTTGACATGATTAATTTGTTTAGAAAATTAGTTTAGTAGCCTTGTTAGGGGAGTTAGATGCTCTAACTGGCTATTTAATCAAATCTACGAGTTTAAATTCACCGTGTATAAATAATCAGGTGCAACGTCTAATTTCCCCGATTTTTCTTTAAATTCTTTGCAAAATTTCTATACATATATTGGGAGAAACGTAAGATCAACATACGGAGTTGTCACACTCATACACGTGTATTATATGAAGGTTGGAAATTGAAAACATAAATATAGAGTTTTTAGACAAAAGTGTTTACGTTAAATTTAAGTACTGAAGTCGACATATTTAAAAGTTGATGGTCCATTTTTTTAAGAATGTGGATGGATGGTCCAAACAAGATTTTTTTTTCTTTCTGAAATACATACATAACTCAACGTGTAATTTATGATATAAAAAAAAAAACTCATTTCTTTTGAGCATTTACAATACTACCCTTTGAGAACTTCTACCAAACAATCGTTACTTAAACCTCTTTGAGTACTAAAAACTCGACTCGAAAAAAAAGACCTCGTTTAAAGAAAAGTATAACGTACAATTTTTCCAATGGTTTATCTGGAATTCTGATTGGGTGAAGCTAAAATACAAATGAAGCCCGCGAAGCGTCTACAATAGTTGCGGTTATTGGCGGGATTATCAGAGGTCGTGATGTGATGCAGAGCCCCGTTCATACGAGGTATAAGGTCATAAGGCGCTATGGTGTATGACCTTAGGTAGGGCTTTTAGGCGAGCTGAAATTTGTGTAACCTACATTAAATGCGGTAGACTTAAATGAGAAGTTAATTAGGCCAAAAAATTCTAATAAAACGTGCATCTCAAAAGAAAATTCTAATAAAACGTGCAGGTTGGCACATGGATTTCTTCTTGACAAATCTAGTTGCGTATCGTGTAAATCTAATGAACGATAAATGTAATGGCACATATAATTCAAATAGTCTTTTAATAAAGGGCAAATTACGGCCACTCCTGAGTTATGGTCAATTATGAAAAAATCCATTTTGTTTGGGTAATAATAGTTACCCCTCCTTTTAAATAATTTATGTAATTCGGTTATTTACCGAACCAAATCGTATATTTAGTTCGGTAAACGGTATGAATTGTTAGCATACCAAAATTTCAGTTATGTTTTACCAAATTAACATCCATAAATTTACCTGTTTCGTAAGATTATACATAGTTAAGGGGTAACTGTAATTACCCAAACATGATGGGGGTTTTGTAATTTGACCATAACTCAGGGGTTGGCTGTAATTTGCCCGTTCATAAATTATTGTCGTCCAACTTTGCTTCCTAGCACAAAACAAGCACCAATAATACTCAAATTGTTAAACATTTACCAATTACAATGTGCCACCAAAAGATAATACAACAGCATCCCAAACAAATCAACATCAAAGGCAACCCGATCACTCAATTCCGATCATCTTTTCGTTTTTGTCTTTACAATTTCGAATAGAAGTTTACTACAACACGTAAGACTCTATTTCGTTTAGAGATAATACAAAAAAAAAAAAAGGAAAAAAAATCCTAAGATGTAATCTACACATGATGCACATATAAGCAATAAAAAACAGCGTTAGGTAAGTGGAGCTTCGATCGTGAGTCACCTTAAACCGTGTCGTTCTGATGTTTAATCTGTATTTTAAGATCATCCAAATTAGGGCTGCCGAGAATTCGCAATCCATGCTCATTAGCCAGATGCAAAAGGCATATGAAGCACAAATGAGGCGATATCTCGTTAAGAGATGCTGCTGCTCTACAGTCATCTGGGAAACTGGACAAGGCTTGCTTGAAAGATACCGTTTCTTCTTCTGGTGCTTCAACCTGAAAAGGGTATTTTTGTCATTCCATTTGAAGTTCATATTACAAGAAGTACGGTAGAAATCGTAAGTGCGAGGACAAGCTTCACCTCAACCGAGTCTTGATTCAATTGTTGTATATGGTCCCACAGCGTTTCTTTTAGTGCTTGCACATCGACTTGTTTGGATGTCTTATCGTACTTGACCTCGATCTTATTTACCTGCTTACAGAAATACAAGTACTTGATTTTGTTAAATATTTTATTGAACAAGAAATGCATGTACCAAGAGACCAGATTAGAAGTACAATAAATTCCAATTCGGGTGTTTCGTAACTGAATAAAGATAGTTTATTCTTTAAAAATCGAAAAGAAATTGGTTCATTTAAAGAGTTATAATAGACTTTGAAAAATGAGATTAGTAAGAAGCGTATAAACCAACCAACCTGTCGAGGTTGAGAAACAAGTGCACTTGGCTCCTCGTTATCACTGTAAGCATGTTCGTCATTAAAACCACCATCAAAACCATCTTCATCATCCCAAGATGCTGTAGCTCCAAATCCATCTCTTTGTTGACTTTCTTCATCTAGACACAGCATTTTAGTATCTTATTACCTCTACATGTAATCAGAAAGTGGCAAAAAACTAACTTTTCACAATAAATCATGTTGAGATACACACGTATACTACATAGGGCGAATAGCAGGAACCTACACAATCTCATAACACAAATTTGATGCATTACTATATATAGTTTTTCATGCATGATATATCTCAATCAGAAACTCTTCTTAATATACATTCCGCGTGGAGCTGAAATTGTACGAGAATGTATATACAACATTCAGACAGTATACGATGTCATTGATACGAAGCATTAAAGTATGCCTTACCAGTTCTCTTCTTTCCACTCTTTCCAAGGCACTATAATAATAAGAAAAAAAACAATAATGAATAAGACACGGTCAATTTTATGGAGCCAAGTAGATAGTAATACATAACAATGTATAACAGGGTGTGGGAGAAGGGGTTTAGTTATTCGGGTTTACCAAAACATGAGGTAACAAAAAAAGTTTCACAAGATCCTCCGGTTGGTAATGACAATCTTCTGGAAGCTTTGTGTTGCAAGGTGCTCTATTTGCTGGCAGTAATAGGGATTTGGGATTCTTCGGAGGAGCAAAGATTTGTGAAAGATCGGTGTCCATTGCATTTGAAAATTCAATATCCGTATCTGCTTTCTTGTTTCTCGTTTTCTTGGCCTTTGGTGATCCTGTTTCTTCAGCCGGAACCTCAGTATCTACAAAAAGCCCGCTTTCAGTTCCAATTAAAAAAAATAGAAAAGAGAAAATGAGTGGAGATGCATAATACGTCAAAGCTTCGGTTCGAGATTACCTTTGACTTTTCGGTATTTCCAATGATTGGGACCCGCCCACGCATTTTGCTTCGTTGAAAATCCTAAACTTAAGAATAGATAGCTATCAACTTCCTCAAATCTACCATCCTCGTCAGGTTCATGACCGTTTAATTCTTTATCAGCCTGCAAAATTGACAAAAAATTGTAGAGTACCCCGAAAACGTTTAGGAGTTCTTTAGAAAATTTAAGCAGTGAAAAATTTACCGAATCAGAAACTTCTTGATTTGCGAAACTTGTATCTTGATCATATGTGCCGTCATCTACAACACTTGATTGATCATCATTGTCAAAGTCCCAAGTTCCAGTATTGCCAAATGAATCACCATCTAAGTCAACATTCATGTTGGTACTCTCGTTTACTTGTCCGGAGTAACTTTGATCGGATGAATATGACTCAGACGGTCTTTGGTCATCGTTATCAAATTGATTCACTATATCACTAAGGCTGGGAGATATTTCTGACTTGTTAAGCATGTTCGCCACCATCTGTTCAATGCACTCTGAGCAAAAAAAAAAAATAATACTTAAGCATTACATCCAAACAAACGAATTTTTCTTAAGCAAAAAAAAAAAAAAAAGAAAAGAAAAACTCAAAGGAAAATCTGTCAGACTGTAGAGATACATACCACTAGCAAAAGACAAGTCAATCGTCTCTACACTATCACATTTAGAAGCCGGAGAAAGGCACTTTCCAGGTACTTCCAAAGAGTCAAAAAGGACCCGACAATTACCATAAACACCAAGATTGTTCAACAAAAGACCCTTCGCTCCACCTTCATCGAACTGTGCAGATGTCTGGTGGTAGAGAGGATCCACCACGAAGGCAACTGAAGGAAAAAACAAAAGTCAACACTAAAAGTCAACTGAACAAAAAAATTAAGCGGGAGATACGCATACACTTACAGAAAGGGGCAACTTACCATCGAACTTCTTTACATTTATAGCAGCAAAAGATGACTCTAGTGTCGACAAAGGTGATAACTGCACATGTACACCACCACTCTTTCAAAATCCAAATATAATTCAATTTGCAACATTTTTGTATCGAGTACTTAAGGTGTAGGAAAGAGAGTATTAACCTTTCTCCCTTGCTCCTTCTTCCCATTGTTTTCACCTTGTTCGTTACCGACATTGGCACCCTCAACGCCATTATCTGGTACAAATACAGTTTAGAAAAAGTCCCAAGCATGACAAAATCAAATGTCATGCCAAATATCAAACATCACATTTTAACCAACATAATTGACTTGAGAAACAAAGAAGCTAAAGCAAGCATTGTTGACACGACAATGGAGAAAATGAATAAAGTAGTAACATCTTAATTTAAACGAGCATAATACTAACTTCCAGTTAAGTTTACTCCAATCATTCATAACTATAGTCACCAGCCCAAAATTTTCCTCATACCAAGTTCTTAATAATTACATTTAAAAAAAAAAATTGTACATATAAGAAGGAACTAGCAAAACAACGACAAAAATAGAAATGAAGCAGTTGAAACTAACCTTGTTCATCTTCTTGCCCAACCCGATTAATTCCTCCAAGGACTTTATATGCCTCTGAATGTACACTATCCACTCTCATAGAATAAATCTTAACCCCAGCTTCCAGAGTACAACTCGCCTACAATAAGATAATTATAATTCATAGATAAGTTTGTACTTTGTGGTTCATTATAAAACGAAGAGAATCTAATAGTATATGTTTCTCATTACGAACAACAAGATAACATTTTTCCATCCCTAACCTTACTATCACGATTCTTAAGCTTATCCTCGTTTTCAAATTAGATACACAGAATCTTCTCACAGCCAATAAGAGTTGTAAATAGAAGTACAATCCAAGCTAAAACAGAAATCCAGAATAAATTTATGCAACCATCTAGATTTACGATTTTTTTAATTCATTAATTCTTGTTTCCAAAATTCAGAACCTTAAATTATAAATTCATTCACGCGCTTCTGGTTATACAAAATCCGGCGTCTAATAATGCTTATAGATCAGTAGCATTAATACGGTAACGAAATTAAGAACCAAACGGAGAACTCATCTTCTGGTAATCATTTTTACCTTTTGAAAATTGGTCTCTGCATCATTTTCTTCTTCGACCTTGATAATCTCGCAAAGATGATCTATCAAATTCAGCTCCCACGTATTTTTCTGAGTAATTTTCTGGAATACCAAAACATATAAATTAAAAAATTATATCCAAAAAAAAGTAAATAAGGAACAATTAGAAGTACACAGAGTGAGAACCGAAATCGGACATTTTCGCTGGCGAGTTTGATGCAGTTCTGAAATAACTCGAGAATCTGATCTTTCCCGAGGCATGGGTCGGGTGCAGAGGAGACGGAGGTGGTCGCGAAAGCGGGCTTGCGTCGGATGGCGGCGGCGCGTGCCGCGCGTGCCTGAGCGCGTTCGAGTTTGTCGTCATTGGAGCCGATGAAGAATGGGCTCTTCGTCGGGGAGAATGGAGCCCTCTGTTTCGGGCTTGGGCTTAGGGTTTCAGCCATTTCTATCGTTATTGAAGTTTGGGGATATACAGTTTAGAGAGAGAGAGAGAGAGAGAGAGAGGAGAGAGAGAGGAGAGAGAAAGATTCGGAGTGGAGTGGGATTTTGAAATTATGGTGTTTCCCTCCTCCAAAATTTGAATCTTGGGGTTAGGAAACTATTTTAATTTATTTTTTGCACCATAAAGTTTTGCTCACTCTCAATTACAGGACCATTCTCCTCAAATTTATGTTGGGAAAATTACAATCACCCCCTGAGGGAAAGCTTATTTGCAATAAACCCCTCCGTTTTTCATAATTACATCCACTCCCTAACGGTTTGTAGATTTCTTACATAAACACCCTTTTGTAGGAGGGTGGACCGTGGATGTAAGAAATTTACAAACCGCAAGGGGTTGTACGTAATTTATCAAAATGAAGAGATTTTTTCGTAACTACACTTTAGTACACGGAGGTGGTTATAGTTTACCCTTTTATGTTTTGTTATAATGAGATTTTAATTACATGTCTCCACATTTAAAGATTTTTTTTTAATAATTTTACTTTTACCTATATATTTGTCGGTTTATGAGATCCTACACCTGGTGTAATACACAATGTGATTATAAAACTTAAATTTAAATAAATAACTATCTAATAAGTACACATGCACATGACTGTGTGTTATTATGTGTAGATCAATTGTGTAAAACCACATTGCGTATTTCACCAGGTATAGGTCCTACAAAACCATATTCGTCTAAGATATTACACTCAAATAAACAATTACAAAAATATGAATTCTGAAGAAAATTTCTCATATTTAAGAATTAATAGTCTTGTGCATGCCACATGATTGAAATACAACGGTATGATTCAAGTGACCCGAATTCGAATTATATTGCCATTTTGGATTACATTTATCGTGTGATTTGCAACGGTATGATTCAAGTAACCCGAGTAGACCACTTGTGGATATAAATTTTCGGAAGTTGTGACAAAGTTGTAGAGACTCCTAGGAAGTTGTTACCAACTTTTACGATATTCGGGCAAGAGATGCTCCATTCTAGTTAACATGTAGAATGTAATTAGAATTTAACGAAATGCTCTAGAGAGCTACTAACTACCATATGACTAAATCAATCGCCACATCCATTAATGATGTGGAGTGGTATATAATAATAGGATTTCAGACAAACAAATTTGTAAGAACATAAAGTTAATAATAATGGTTATGTTTTATGAATTGCCAAGCGAAATGAGGAGTTTAGGTCTTATGGCACGCATCAAAACCATATGTAATTAAAATTTAAAAATTATGATTTATTTTTAATATCAAAATTATTTAAGACCCTAAATAAAAAATTTAAAATCTATTTATTTTTATTAACAATTGAGAAATTTCCTTTGGGGAAAGGGACGGGCTGGACAAAACTTGGAAATATTTATGAAGAATAGGCTGGATGGATCTGGTGGGTGACACTTTGGCTAGTACTTCGAATTGAAGTGAAGAAAAATCCGAAGAAGAGGATGATTATGAACATCAAGCCCATTACTCTTAATCTTTCGTCCGAGAGATCTACCCCTTCTGCGGATCCACGAAGTAGAGTTTGCTGGAGATTTGAAATAAAAATGTTGGTTTTCTTTTTAATTGCTTTTGCTTGTGATTAAGAGAAGCAATTTGCTAACGGTTAGAGGAGAGTTCTTTATGACTCAGATTTGTTTACAGATGTCATGATTTCTGGTTTAAATCAACACCATTAATCAATTAATCTTAAAAAAAAAGAACATTTACTATTTAGAAACAATCACTTTATCTTATGCAAGCACAGATTGCACCAACTTGAACTCCAATTTGGACAAACAATTTCAACAAGTACTACACAAACTTGTAAGAAAAAAGAATATAACATATCTCCCCAATAAACCTCAAGGCTCCTCTGTTGCAATAGCAACAACCTTCATATCTTCATCAATCCTCACAATCTCCTCATTATGCTTCTTCATCTCTTCCTCACCACCACCAACACCACCATCACCGCCACCGCCGCCGTAATTTTGCACCTTATACTGATGCCTCATGGCAAAGACGACGAAAAACAAGAAATTAACCACACCAAGGACAGCCAACAACCAATAAAACAAGTCCAATTTCCCCATATTCAAATCACTCCTCAACCACTCCCCATTCGTCACCCTATCAACCAAAGAAACAAGCAAGCTACTAACGAAGAACCCCATCGAAAGCGTACTCAAAAACAACCCGGTACTCATCGACTTCATCCTCTCCGGCGCCTCCCTAATGAAAAACTCGAGCTGGCCCACGTACGCAAACGCCTCACCGGCCCCCACAATAAAAAACTGCGGCACGAGCCAAAACGCCGTTATCCTAACATTTTTGCCGTCTTGAACGAAATCATTCCTCCGTTTTTTCTCGACTAGAGCGGATGCGGCCATTCCGATTACGGAGAAAACGAGCCCCGTTCCGACGCGCTGGAGGCACGTGATTCCGTGTGGGGTCCGCGTGATTTTACGGGCGATCGGGACGAAGAGGCGTTCATTGAGGGAAGTGAAGAGGAGGATTGTGATGAAGAGGAAGAACGAGAAAGAACCGGCCGGTATTTCGAAACTGCCGAGGTTTCGATCCATGAATGTGGCTTGTTCGATTGTGAAGGTGTTCATTTGGGAGTAGACCGTCCAGAAGAGGATTGAGGTCGACCATATCGGAAGGAGCATTAGTACCATTTTCACTTCTTCGACTTGGGTGACTGTCGAGACTGACCGGGAGGAGTTGACCTTTTCGTCGTTTGTTGTTGTTTCGGTGTCGTCCGAGATTGCTGCTTTGTCTAGACACCTACATAAAAGCCAGCAATGGCTAAGTAAGATTCAGAGCAAACTTTCATAGAGACAGAGCATTTTATAACCATTACCTAACTTTCTCAGTATGAGGAATCTTTGCATTGTAGTACTCATTCAACATATTGACTTGTGAAGGATAGTCAACCCTCCTCTTCTTCCAAGCCAAATACAACACTCTCCAAATCACGGTCAACGGGCTTCCCTTAGGAATTCGAAACCGATAAAACGCCCTCCCGAATATCAAAACCCCAACGGCAAAAACCATAGTGCCGGCCGATATTCCGTAGCCCCACCCTCTCCCCACGTTATCTTGTATGTACACCAAAACCGTAACCGCGAAAAGCGAGCCGAGGCTTATGCAGAAGTAGAATCTATTGAAGAAGTACACCATGGCCTTCTCCTCTTTCGGATCCGACGTGTCGAATTGATCGGAGCCGAAGCCGGAGACATTGGATTTGATGCCGCCGCCGCCGAGGGCGATGGTGTAGAGTGCGGCGTATAGTAGGGCTAGCTGGCGGCCGGTGGCGGCGATGCAGTCTTGCGGCGGTGATCCTACTCTTGAGTTGCATGTTGGTGGCCTCATGCTTGGGATTGTGGTGGCTATTGTCAATAATGTTACTCCCTGATTTTGATATATCCACATTTATCACATGTCAAAATATATCAACTGTGGACCAGTCAGTAGCAGAGTCAGCATAGAACCATAAGGGGCCATGGCCCCCATCGATTCTCAACAACAATATTAATAATATAGAAATGTGTCATTTTTCGACTATTGAGTATTGTGGGCCCCGCTATAGCAAAATCCCGGCTCCACCATTGTAGACAATTAAAGATTTACCATTACGTTATATTCACACACACCCATATGGATGTGTGCGTTTTTTGTGTGATGATAGATGGTAGATATACTATTATGACACTTTGAAATTAGGCAGAGTGGTTCAATTTTTCTTTTAATTTGCATATCGACTTCATTAATCGATTCGAGTATAAACGACTCGTAAAAATCGATCAATCAACGACGATGACAATTGAATAGTAAGGAAAGTAGTTTTCTAGCTAATTAACAAAGATCAACTACTAGTTAATCACACAACTAATATGAGTTTATTTGATCATATATATACAAATTTAGTAATAATTACCAAAGCTGTAATAGATGCGGAAATAGCGACGGTCGAATAACGGCCGAGTTTAGCATCGGCGACGAAACCACCGAGGAGGCCTAAAAGATTGAGGGTTCCCATGAAATTAGTGACAATGGTTGCAGATTCAGCAGAAGAGAGATGCAACTCTCCCACCAAATACGTCACCATATTCATCGATATTCCCATCACGCATATCCGCTCCGAAAGTTCGGTTCCTATACTACTCGAAACATATATTAATATTTATATATATACTATGTAGTAAAATTAAATTCAAAGCCTAATTAATATGTTGCATGGTATATATATTATATGATTAGTTAATTACCTAAGATAAGCCCTGCTGCTAGCCATCCGCCGGTTCTTGATTTGTCGACCGGATTTCCGTGAAAATCGACCATAGCGCCGTCATCTTTTTCACCGTTGTTATCAACTAAGACCTGTGATCAGTTTGGACAATAATTAATGAACACTTGTGTATACAAAATCAGCAAAGCATGTACAAATTAGCTTCAAGTAAGTGAAGTATTACCATTTCCAGAGAGAGAGAGGGAGAGAGAGAGAGAGAGAGAGAGAGAGAGAGAGAGAGAGAGAGAGAGAGAGAGAGAGAGAGAGATGGTTTCTTGAGCAGAAAAACAGCTGAGAGAAGTAATAAATAAGAAAATGTGGGATGTCTTGATAAATTATTTCTCTCCACAAGTTATAAGAAAGCAAGGAAACTGTGTTATGTTCATGGTACAATTTGGATCTATTCTTATGTGGTGGTGATGCACACAACTAAGTTAAAAAATGACAATTCAGTCACGTGGTCCTTATCTCTACATTCAACCTTATATATCATGTCACAACAATTCTTAATCCAACTTTTTTTTTTTATAAGATGGCCACAAAATTCGATTTTTCATGCCAATTTTCTAGGTCGAACTCGTCACACTAGACTTTGCCTAGTGGAGTTTGCATTTTTCGTGTGGTATACCAAATTCGATTTTTTTGCCAATTTTCAAGGTCAAACTGGATTTTGAAATTTTGTCTAGTGCAGTTTACATCTTTCTTTTCATTTACTAGTTCCTTTTAAAAAATAAAGATACAAAATCTTGTGCATTTTCAATTTTTTTTAAGATGGCCACCAAATTCGATTTTTCTTGCCAATTTTAATTTCTGGGTCGAACTCGTCACATTAGATTTCACCTAGTGCAGTTCATCTTTCGTGTGATCTGCTGGTTTCTTTTAGAAAAATAAAGATATATGATCTTGTGCATTTTCCTTTCTTTTTATAATCAAAGAGTTTAAAAATATTGGAATTAATAGGATTGGAAGCACTGGCGGAGCGATCATAAGGCTGGGGGCCATGCCCCCACCAATATTTTCAAATCCCTTTTATTTTATATAAAAATATAAAAAAAAATCATATATAATAACATTGACGGTCTCTCCCCGCATAATTTTTTTTACTTCGTTCGGCCCGAAAGTTAAAATTCTGACTCAGCTACTGCATGGAAGTACAAAATGTAGAAGTAGGATGGGTTGAAAAAGTTGTTTGATGACACCATTTCGTTGCCTAAATAAGGAGAATAATTAATCATAGGAGTAATACTTTTCAAAGTAAGGCCGGTGAAGAAAACGCGACTTTTATTAATATGTGTGTACGTTTTTGGTTGTGTGGTTGTCATGCATGCTGCCGCCCATACTTACCCGAGTTATTACTTATTAGTACGTCTCTAATTCAATTATTATTCTTAGGGTAAATTACAACCATCGCTGAGGTATGGTTGAATTATGAAAACTCCCCTCATGTTTGGGTAATTACAAACACCCCATCAACTATAAATCCAGTTTCAAATTTGATGGAATCTTCGATATTATATGGAATATTATCACTTTTGTACTTGTTTTATCCCATTCGAACTCCACATTTTGATGCAAGATGATCATAATATATGTTTTTTGGCATGTATATATATCAGATTGTGGTGCATCAGAAACTGTATTTTTATTTAACGGGTATAAATTAGAGCACATTTCATGAAATCTAGATGATTATGTTGCATTTGACACCATAAGGGTGGATGTGTAAGAAAAAATCATAGTTGAGGGGGATAGATGTAATTTATCCAAACAAAAGGAGTTTTTTGTAAATTGACCATAGCTCAAGGGGTGGTTGTAATTTACCCTTATTCTTATTGTAATATATGTTTGTTTTTGGGTAAATTACTATTATCACCGCTAAATTTTGAGAAAGTACAATTTCACCCCCTAATGTTCGTAGTTATCTACTTATCTTAAGAAACCCTTCTTTACGATGTTTTAGAGAATATTCTTTTGAAAGTTTCAAATTTATATTAAGAGAGAGAGTTGTAAGATTTTACATTTAACAAGGACTACAAGTAATATTTACATGAAATATGAAATTCCTTTTTTTTTTTTTTAACATTATATAATAATAAATATTTAATTGTTTTTGAGAAATATTTAGGATTAATTATTTTCCGAGAAATATTTAATGTTAATTAGTAGGGTAAATTACAACCACCCCTGAGGTATGGTCAAATTACGGAAAAAAAAAACCCTTGTTTGGATAATTACATCTACCCCTCAACTATGATCTTCTTGCATATCCACTCTTATGGTGTTAATTCAACATAATCATCTAGATTCCGTGGATGTTCTCTAATTTGTACTCGTTTTGTGCAAACATACAGTTTTTGATGCACCACAATCCGATATATACAAGCCAAGAGACACATCTTGTAATCATCTAACTTCAAAATGTGGGGTTTGAATGGGATAAAAACAGGTCCAAAATTGAGAATATTCAATATAATCTACAAGATTCCACTAAATTTGAATCCGCAAGGGTGGACGTGTAAAAGATTCATAGCTAAGGGTAGATGTAATTATCCAAATCGGGTGCGGGTTTTCGTAATTTGACTATGCCTCAAGGGAGGTGGTTGTAATTTACCCTAATTAATATGATATAATGTTTAAAAAAAAATGGCTCAACCTCGAGTCTGAATATGAACATTCGAGCTCAAGCTCGAAAACAAAATCGATGAACACGAGTTTCCTACATCCCGAAATAATCCTAGTACTTTTTGAATATGTACATTAAAATGCATGTCATTTTCTAGAAAGAAGAAAAAAAGTGTGAGAAGACTGTGACTATTAGCTTTTAATATATAAGCTAATCCAACAATATTCAAATAAAAAGCTTATAATTTGTAAATATTGACCAAACTTTGGAATAGTTGGAAGACAAGTGTTTATAATAACGGTTGTAATTCAGAGTTAAAGCAATCAGCTCACAATCGATCATTCAACAAAAATCAATCACTCACATGCAAACTTTAATTCTATGCAAGGAAGAAGAGAATGTGTAGAGATGGAGAAGATAAGATGTAACTGTTGTTCCCGGTATATAAAATAGGTAGTGAATTTAGTTAAATGGTCGAACAAATTAATTAGTGAAAATACGATAAGATTGGCCGAGGCGAGAAAACTCTTTTCTTAAGACGATATTATTTGACAATGGTTTCCCAAGATACAACGGCTAACTCGGCATATGAGCACTCAAAATCCCGAGTACAACGAACATTACTTTGTGTCTCAAACTCTCGAACCGAATACGAAAGAAAACATTCTACGAAGAATATTTTCGGGCTTAAGAAAGATGAGTTACATAGAATAAAATTATGGTATTGATTTGTATTTTTTTTCTCAAATCAAACATGTAGAGTTTCTATTTAAGTATTTATAAGTTTCCAATGGTTCTGATTAATGACACAACCCTTAGG